GCCGAAGGCAGACACTTAATGACTGAGCCACCCAGGAGCCCCTGAAATAGAGGATTTAAAAAGAACAGGAAAAAACCCTAATAAAGCCAACAACTGGTTAGCTAGACGGCCAAAGAAAAAGAGGTAAGATTCAAATTACTAAAAACAGGGAGGAAAGAGAAGATAGTGTTTTCAACTTTACAGAAATAAAAAGAATTATAAAGGAGTATTATGAATAATTTATGCCAACAAACTGGGTAACTGAGATGAAATGGACAAATTTCTAGAAAGATACAAACCACCTAAAGCATCTCAAGAAATAGAAAATTTTGAATAGATCTTTAATAAGTAAAGACATTAAATTAGTAACATAAAAAATATCCACAAAGAAAAGCTTTGGCCCAGATAGTGTCACTATGTATTCTACCAAACATTTAAAGAAGAATCGACAGCAATCCTTCCCCAACTCTTACAAAAAATGATACTTATTAGCTCATTCAGAATCTTGTTATCCAACTCACTCTTCCCTCTGAAAAGAGGACTGGGGTTTCCTCTCCCACCCAGCAATTATCCATATCTGTCATTTCCTCTATAGACTTCAGTTTCCTTACCAGTAAAACATGGGAATGAACAAAATAATCTCTAATTAAAGAATCTCTAAGGTTCTTTAAGCATTGATATTTGTTTCTTTTGGCTTCTTTTTTCTCTGAAATTTCTATTTCTGTGAAGCCTTTCCCAGACTTCATTATGGCTCTGAAGATGTTTGATGAGGCACGTGATGTTGTCAAACATTAACAGACAGAAAGCTGCTGACGGGAAACAGGTGGTGGGGGAGGGGATCTCTTCAAATGCCAAGAGCCATGGGGCACTGAGTTAATGCCTCTCCCCTAAGACTGGCCTTTGCTGGGCCACATGCATCACACTCTGCACTGGAAGTGGCACCCACGAGGATCAGGTGAATTCTAAGGTACCCCCTCTTTCCTGAGGTAAATAAGGTTTTGCTGCAAGCCAACAAACAGCTGTCCTGGTTGGAACAGGCACTTACCTGACCAAAGTGATGAGCCAAAATAATGTCCACAACATTGGTTGTCAAGCCTGAGAGCTGAAAAGATAAAAGCTTTGTGTCAAGGGAGTTAAGCATACATATTTATCAAGTTGTCCACTTATGATAAGTGCACTTTATTGTACATATGTTATCCCTCAACAAACAAAAGCACAACTCAGTGTCACACATTTTCATGAGGTGGTGGTTTCAAGATACATGAGAACAAGAACCAAGTCAGAAAACAACTGTCTCCCTTCCAGGGAAATAATATCACCTGCTTTGAAATAGGTGGCTGGAGGGGTGCCTGGGTGGCTCAGTTGGTTAAGTGTCTGCCTTTGGCTCAGGTCATGATCTTCCCCTCCCCCCCAGCCCCTCCCCCCATCATGTTCTCTCTCTCTCTCTCAAATAAATTAAAAAAAAAAAATCTTCTTTTAAAGAAGATTTTATTTATCTGACAGAGAGAGCACAAGCAGGCCGAGCGGCAGGCAGAGGGAAAAGGAGAGGGAGAAGCAGGCTCCCCACCAAGCAAGGAGCCAGATGCGGCCAATCCCAGGACCCTGGGATCATGACCTGAGCCGAAGGCAGACACTTAACTGACTGAGGCACCCAGGCACCCCTTAAAAAAAAAACAACAGAAAAGAAAAAGGTGGGTAGAAGAAATGCTGGTCATTCCTTCTTTGAAAACTCAAGACCTAGAACTCTTGGCTATTAGCTACTTCATTCCTGCCTATATTTCTGCATTTACACTGGATTCATGGCTAGTAAGGATTGACTTAAGACTACTCCCAAGGCATCCAAGAGACAAAAATGATTTTTTTCTTTCCTCCAGTTTTTGCTATCTTCGTTTCAGGGAGTGGGAGGAAATTGCTATGTTTACCCAATGTTCTTGCATTTTGAACATTTTTCTCATAATTTTATCCATTTCAAAATGATGCATATCACAGTCTAATAAATGCAGCAATCTGTGCAAATCTGCAGACTGCCAGTCTATTTTCAGAAAAATTTCCAACTCAAATTATGTTGCTGATTCTCTGTAGCCTTCTTCCTTGGTTTTATGCTTAATTCCTACTGCTGACTTGGATGAGAGGTGAAGTGCTGAACTGGGAGTGCAGATGGAGAAGAGGAGATGAGGAGACAGACATGGATATGGGTAGAGCAGGATCACATGGTCCCAGAAAGATTAAGGAAGAAAGAAGCCCAGAAATCTTCAGAGGGGTTACCAATGATCAAACCATTATAAGTTAAAGATAATTAGAATTAATAACCATTCATGTTTAATACTCATAAGGTCATTTTCAAGTTTCATAATAATTTTATTAGGTTATTACACATATTTTTTTAAAGATTTTATTTATCTGACAGACTGTGAGAGGGCACAAGCAGGGAGAACTGCAGGGGGAGAGGGAGAAGCAGACTTCCCGCTGAGCAGGGAGCCTGATGTGGGGTTCGATCCCAGGACCCTGAGATCATGACCTGAGCCGAAGGCAGACGCTCAACTGACTGAGCCACCCAGCGCCCCTACACATAATTTATTATACATTACTGAATGTTCAGGTAAATTTTAACACAACCACATAACTAGACAGGAATTAGAACAAATTTTAAATAAGTCCAATTATAAGAAAGAATTTCCACAGTATCTGGCAATAGCATCAGTAATATATTTCACCCAAATCTAGAGTATGCATATTTCTCTAGAACTTAAATGTGGGCAGAAATGTATAAATTTTTTAGAATCTAGTCTACTGGTAGGTGGAGTTTTTTTTTTAAATTCTAGTGTACTTAACATACAGTATGTTATCTTAGTTTCAGGTGTATAATATAGTGATTCAACAATTATGTATATTACACAGTGCTCATCAAAGTAAATGTAATCTTAATCCTCTTCACCTATTTCACCCCTCCCCCCATCCACCTCCCCTCTGGTAACCATCTGTTCTCCAGTTAAAGAGTCTCTTTTTTGGTTTGTCTCTTTTTTTTCCTGCCTTTGTTCGTTTGTTTCTTAAAATTCTAGTAGGTGGAATATTTTAATATTTTAAAGTAATTTAAAAGCAATTCATGCTTATCATAGAAAATTAGGAAAACACAGAATATGAAAAAGAAAATAAAAATCATCTGTAATGCTACCAGCCAAAGATATAACTACTAGTAACAAATTCTTTTCCCTTTTTCCTTTTTTTTTAAAATATAGTGGGTAAGACCAGAATTTTTATTGATTTTTTTTTATTTTTTTAAAGATTTTATTTATTTATTTGAGAGAGAACATGAGAGGGGGGAGGGACAGAGGGAGAAGCAGACTCCCCGCTGAGCCAGGAGCCCGATGCGGGACTTGATCCTGGGTCTCCAGGATCATGACCTGAGCCGAAGGCAGTCGCTTAACCAACTGAGCCACCCAGGCGCCCTGATTTTATTTTTTTTATGTAATCTCTACACCCAATGTGGGACTTGAACTCATAACCCTGAAATGAAGAGTAGGGATGTTTTACTTTATGTGGGAAACAAAGGCAAATGAAAAAATTAAATTTCCTTACTGGCCATAGCCCATTGACAAGGCCTCGAAACAGAGTGACCTTCCTCTGGGAGCTCAGCTGCCTCCATGTTGATACTCTGCTAAGGGCAAAAGGCAATCTTCGCTTACCCTTATCCTGGCACCCAAAGATCCTGTAAGTTTTCTTTAACATATAAAAATT